ACTGAAGATGTATTGTCCACTCGACAACTGATGTTCTTCTCTGCCCATCTTGGATTGGTCAGCTTCTAGAAACAACTGAAGATGTATTGTCCACTCGACAACTGATGTTCTTCTCTGCCCATCTTGGATTGGTCAGCTTCTAGAAACAACTGAAGATGTATTGTCCACTCGACAACTGATGTTCTTCTCTGCCCATCTTGAGTAGCTTCCAGAAGGAAGCAACTGAGGATGTATTGTCCATTCATCCACTGAAATTCTTCTCTGCCGATCTTGGGTTGCTCAGCTTCCAGAACAAGCAACTGAAGATGAAGTCCATTCCATCATGACTTCAAGGCTGCTAGCTTTCTGCTGATGTTATGGAGGCCCATCGTGGTGAGATCGGCTCAACGTTGAGTGAAGGCTGCAAACCTGCAGACCGGATGTGGGGTTTTTTTTCCTATCCTTTAGGAAAGGAGTAAGTCAAAAGGGGTCCCGTGGAGACAGAATTAATTCCCGTTATGTCCACTTCCTGTTTTTTTTTTTTTGTTAATGCTTTCGTTAAAAATTAAGTATATCGGTATCAAAGCTGTATGTTTTTCAATGCTAGTAAAATGTATTTTTCCTATTTAAAAAGCCCCTGTGTGCTTTACTACCCCTTAGTAAATGTTCTAAGCACAGGTAGTAGTGCTCAATTTACGACCACGAAGGAGCGGCTAAGCGAGTCCGTCGTTAGGTGAACTTTGCCCCATTTTACGACCACAGGCGTTAAGCCAATCGCTGTGGTTGTTGAATTAGTAACAAAGTTGTTAAGTGAAACTGGCACACACACACCCTTGACTTTGCTTGTCAGCAGGTCGCAAAAGGGGAATCACGTGACCCCGGGACATTGTGACCGTCATAAATGTGAGTCAGTTGTCAAGAAGCTGAATTTTGATCCCGTAACCATGGGGATGCTGCCGACGGTCGTAAGTGTGAAAATCGGTCATAAGTGCCGTTGTGGCTTTGAACGGTCGCTAAACAAATCGTCGTAAATTGAGGACTCCTTATAACCCGCTCAATCTGGAGCCGGTCCTAAGACTGGGTGGTTAGTTAATGACAGGGGGGAAACAGAGTCAACCAGCAGAGGTGGAAATTTTCCAGATTTGATTGCAATTCTCTTTCATCTGAACCGGCTCCTGTTCATTTCCCGTCTTTGGTTTGTGGTTGGGTTTGTTTCGGTCCCGGCTTTGCCAATTTTGGGAAGAGCCCGGTGGGTCACACTGCCCGTTTCCCCCCCTCCCCCGGCTGACTTCCTACTTGGCCTTTACTCCTTTTTAAAAATGCTTTTTTTCATTATTATTATTGTTTCTGGGCCCCCATGCCGGCCTTTGCAATAGTATTTTCGTCCCTTTAATGAGAATTTCCTGGCGTGCTCTTGGGCCATTGTGCTCTGAAAACTAGCCAAGATAAGCAAAAAAAAAATAGGAGCCCAGCAAAGGCAGCTCTTATCACAGCAGCCAGCCCCACAGTGGAAACCCCCCACGCCACCAAGCGGGGTGTGCCCTGGGGGTGGAATTGAGAAAGGGGTCTCCTGACACCCCTCGAAAGGGCTGGAAAACGCCCCGCCCATCCGGAGGGTTTTAAAGGATGCTCTGGTGTCATGGAGCAGCCTGTAGACTTAAGACCTTCCCCCCCCACACACCTTTCATTTTATTATAATAATGATAAAGTTGGAAGGGATCTTGGAGGTCATCTAGTCCAACCCCCTGCTCAGGCAGGAAACCCTATACCATTTCAGACAAACAGCTGTCCAGACTTTTTTTAAAAACTTTTCGGGCTCTTATCTGACTGTTCTGTGTCTCTCAAGTCATCCCCGCATCTGTCATTACAATCCTAGATGCATAAGAGCTGGATGATAATAGTAATAGTAATAGTAACAATAGTAACAATAATAATAATAATAATAATAATAATAATAATAATAATAATAATAATAATAAAAAATGCCAAATCCAGTCTGAACATCTGGCTGACTGTGCGATGATTAATAATAATAATAATAATAATAATAATAATAATAATAATAGTAGTAGTAGTAGTAGTAGTAGTAGTAGTAGTAGTAGTATAATGCCAAATCCAGTCTGAACATCTGGCTGACTGTGCGATGATTAATAATAATAATAATAATAATAATAGTAGTAGTAGTAGTAGTAGTAGTAGTAGTAGTAGTAGTAGTAGTAGTAGTAATAATATAATGCCAAATCCAGTCTGAACATCTGGCTGACTGTGCGATGATTAGTAGTAGTAGTAGTAGTAGTAGTAGTAGTAGTAGTAGTAGTAGTAGTATAATGCCAAATCCAGTCTGAACATCTGGCTGACTGTGCGATGATTAATAATAATAATAATAATAATAATAATAATAATAATAGTAGTAGTAGTAGTAGTAGTAGTAGTAGTAGTAGTAGTAGTAGTAGTAGTAATATAATG